GCAAAGGCTCCCTGGGGACCCCCCTCCCAGCAGGGTGGTTTGGACGTGCAGGGTGGCTCCTCTGTCCCATCACCACGGTCAGGTGGCACCCGAGGTGGCATCTGGGCACACAGGACATCAGAGGGGGGGGCTCTGGCCCCGTGACACCTCATGAGCCACCCCTGGCACAGCTTGGAGCCCACCCTGAACGTCCTCCTCCAGCCCTGGTGGGAGCAGCTCCTGCTCCTCACAAGTCCTCTCCACCTTGCTCCAAACAGGGGGACCAGGAATAGTCAAAACAGGGGGACCAGGAATAGCCAAAACAGGGGGACCAGGAATAACCAAAACAGGGGGACCAGGAATACCCAAGGAACACCCAAACAGGGGGACCAGGAACACCCAAACAGGGGGACCAGGAATATCCTCCCCACAGCCACAGAGAGGGAGTGAAGTGTCCCGAGATGTGACCCACAGGAGGAGCAGGTCAGGCAGGTGAGATCTCATCAATGCTCACCAGTATCTAAAGGGCCCCCAGGGGGCAAGAGGCTGGGGCCAGACTCTGCTCAGTGGTGCCCAGCCACAGGACAAGGGGCAACGGGCACCCACTGGAACCCAGGAGGGGCCACCTGAGCAGGAGGAGAAAATTATTGACTTTGAGGGTGCCCAAGCCTGGAGCAGCTGCCCAGAGAGGTTTTGGAGGCAGATCCCAAACCCTCCTGGCTGTGCCCCTGGGGGAGCTGCTGGAGCAGGGGGTTGGGGGAGATGATCCCCAGAGCTCCCTCCCAGCCCCACCAGGCCGGGATTCCATTAAATGCATTTGTAGAGGAGCAAGAAGATGTCTCTGAGGAGACTCAATACAACATGGAGCAAGAGATGTGGGCAATGCCAGACCAGAGGCTTTGGGTTGAGATCCTGCAGACAGGACCCCCACCTTTGGGAGACCCTTCTCTTGCTTCCCCAACGCTTGGTGCCTCAACACCTCTGGGCAGAGCCCAGACAGACCCAGCCTGGGGCAGGGCTTGGTGGCACCACCGCGAGGGAAGGGTTCCAAGGTGGGCTCAGCTCCCCACACGTCAGCCAGCAGCAGGGTCTGCAAGCTCTACAGCCATGGACCATCCTGCTCCTCTGCAGCTGAAACCAGCACACCCCAAGAGGGGTCAGAAGCAGTCAAAAGCAAGTGGGACCTCTCAGAAGGTCCCTCTTGGTCAATGATCTTTCCAACGACCCCAGTGCAGGCCATGCCAAGAGGCACCACGGAGGGCATGGGGATTTTTCAGCACCAGTGTGACAAGGCAACGTGTCACTGTCTCCTTTCACAAAGGCAGATGATCTCCTCAGGCTCTCCTAGAAGCCTTCCTGACTTCTGTGGAAGCCTTCCTGACTTCTGTGGGTCCTCCTATTTCACAGAGTCACCACCTTAAAGCTCATCTCCTTCCAGCCCCCCTGCCACGGGCAGGACACCTCCCACTGGGTCAGGCTGAGCAAGGCCCCACCCAACCTGCCCTTGAGCACCTCCAGGGATGGAGCATCCACAGCTTTCCTGGGCAACCCACTCCAACCCCTCCTGCCATGGAGCTGGAAGTATCTCTGTCATATCCAAAGCATCACACCCCACCACGGGACAGCTCCAGGCTCAGCTCAGGAGAGGACACAGAATCATACTCATGGAACCCCACTGGAATGACCTTCACTCCTGGGGCTTCTCCAGTGAGCAGAGCAGGGAAAGGCTCAGCTAGAAGCACCCTGCCCCTTCTCAGGACCCATGAGCCAAGCCACACGTCTCTGCTCCATCCCCTCCACAGAAAATGGCAGTTTTGGAAGCAGAGGTTTGCTGGAGTCAAAGTCCTGCTTTCCCCAGGCACAGCAGGGTGAGGATCTCCATGCCCTGAGGACACCCTGCAGCACAGGCTTTACTGGCTGCTCCTGAGGGACAGAGTCCTGCAGCTGAGGATACTTCTGAACCTCAGAGCAGAGCCAGCTCCAAGGAGCAGGCCCCCCAGGGAAGCTGTCTGCTCTGACTGCACTCTGCAGGGACTGTCACCCCAGCTCAGCCCTGAGGTACAGTCAGACAGAGGCTGGTGGGACACATCACAACCACGGGCATACATCCATGGGCTCCAGAACACAACAGGTCCTTTGGACAGGTCTCAAACCCCAGCTGAACCCCAACATGGAACACTCTGCCTTCCCACCACACGACACCAGCCTCCCTCTCCCAGGCTGAGGGTAAAACCCAGAGCTCACAGCTCAGGGTGAGTTTCTCCAGAGCACAGAACCATGGACTTGGTTTGGTTGGGAGAGACCTTTCAGCTCCTGGAGCCCACCCGTGCCCCCAGCCCTGCCAGGTCCCCACTGCCCCGTGTCCCTCACCCCACATCTCCACGGCTTGGACACCCCTCCAGGGGTGGGGACTCCACCACTGCCCTGGGCAGCCTGGCACAGCCCTGGGCAACCCTCCAGGGCAAGAAATTGTTCCTCAGGGACAACTGAAACCTCCCCTGGGGTGACTTGAGGCCCTTTTCCCTCCCTCCAGGCTCCTGTCAGGAGCTGTGCAGAGCCAGAAGGTCTCCCCTGAGCCTCCTTTGCTCCAGGCTCAGCACCCCCAGCTCCCTCAGCTGCTCCTCCCCACACTTGGGCTCTAGACCCTTCCCCAGCAGCTCCGTTGCCCTTCTCTGCCCACGCTCCAGCTGCCTGTCCACCAACACCCCCCATACAGCATCAGATGGTCCGTGGCAGGGCCAAGGCCACCCCACTGTGGTGTCTCAGGGACACACTCTCCACACACTGGAAGGCCACGGCGCATTGAGAAAGCCCCAGGGAAGCAGCACTGCAGCCCCTCAGCAGCACCTCCTCCCACCACAGCTCCCCTGTGCCAGCCCAGATGGGACCCCAGAGCTGCACCCAACGCTCCGAGCACACAGCAGAGCAACAGGTTCACCAAAAAACCCACCCAAAAAAAGCCAGGAGACGGCGCCTGGGCAAGAGACCCGAGGGCAAAGGGCAGGATGTGCCCAGGGCTGGATCTCAGCTTTGGTGCTGGCAAGGAGATCACCACCAGCCAGCAAGACAGCAGAAGGAAGCTGTGGTTTTAGGGACTAAAATAGACTTTTGGGGAGTAGAGCGAGGCAAAACCACCAAAGCTCCTGGAGGCAGCACAACAGGTCTGGCAGAGGCAGCTCAGGGGAGAAGGAGAAACAACACAGAACCCCCCACTAAAGGTCAGAACCTGTGCCAACAACCCCAAGAAACGAGGCCAAACCCACCCGGGGGGAGACAAGGGCTCTGAGAGCCACTTTGTCCAGCAGCCCAAGAGCCCCAGAGCCAGGACTGGGAAGGAGAAGCAGAGTTCTGCTCTGATAGCCTGCAGGGGAGCTGGGCAGGGCCAGGAGCCCCCCAGGAGCCCCCCAAACCCCCCTGGGGGGGCTCTCTCTGTACCTTGACGTCGGCGATGAGGGCGTCCTCGTCCTCGATGCCGGTGGGGACGCACTTCTTGTGCAGAGGGAGAGACTCCAGCTTGTCCACCAGGCAGCGCAGCCCCTCCAGCTCAAACTGGGTGAGGTGAACCCTCCTGCTCTTGCGCGGGCTGCCGCCGCTGGGGTCGCAGCTTTGGCCGTTCTGGGAGCCCCGGCTGGAGTCGGAGGAGGAGTCGATGGAAGGGGTTTTCTTCAGGGCTGGGAGGCTGCTCCTGCAGCTCCTGCCCAGCTCGTCGTAGTCGGCGTTGGCCCCGTTGGCGATGGGGCTGGTGAGGACCGAGCGCCTCGTGACCGGCCGCCTGGGCTCCTTCCCTGCCGCCTCCTCCTCCTCCTCCTCCTCCTCCTCCTCTTCCATGTTGACCGAGTCCGAGGAGCTCAGCTCCATATCTGCCGTGGGAAAGAGGGAGAGAAGAGCAGAGTGGCCAGGCAGTCAGGCACGGGAGGGGTTTGGTTTCTAGAGGAACCTCTCCCCCGTCAGCAGATGCTGGAGCAGCAGGTAGGGATGGGGATGAGGCAAGAGGAAAGGATGGGGCATAGGAGGGGGGCTGCTGGAGAAGAACAGCTAAACCCCATCCCCATTCCTGGCCTGTTCTGTGGGGAGGTGAGACACAAGACACCAGAAAACCTCCTGGAGGAGGAGACAGCTGTGCCTGAGACTGAATTTCATAGGATCATGGAATGGTTTGGGTTGGAAGGGACCTTTAAAGATCCTCTAGTCCAACCCCTCTGCCACAAAAGCAGAGGCACCATTCACTAGATGAGGAGGCTCAAAGCCTAATCCAACCTGACTGTGCTTTGGAGGGCTCTGGATCTCCATCCACCTCATCCTGGGAGGGACCTGGGGCCTTGATCCTGCCTTCAGGATGGGAGGAAGAGGATGTGGACTCAGTGGATGGCTGGGAGGTCTCTGAGCCTGACTGTGCATGACAAAGCACCCTCCCCAGACAGGCAGAGGGAAGTGGGTTCTCCAGCTCCCTTCCCCTCCATTCTCTGCACTAGTTCCAGTTCAGGCTGCTCACTGGCAGAGAAAGGGTGATGAAGGCTCAAGGAAGTCTCCAGGCAGGAGGACAGAGACAGCCAAGCACTGCAGGACACCTCCAGAGAACCATGAGCACAGGACAAGAGCTGGGGGCTGTGTCCCTCTGCCAGGGCCCCTTGGGCAGCAACAGAAAGCCCTGAAGAGGCTGTGGCTGTGAGGAGAGGTGCCCAGGAGCATTTCCAGCCTCTTAGGGGAGCAAGGATGGATTTGCTTCAAGGGCCGTGGGTGGAGGCTATCCAGCCTGAAGAAGAGTCTCTGGAAGGTATCACAGAATCATGGAATGGTTTGGGTGGGAAGGGACCTGTCAAGGTCACTGAGTTCAACCCCCTGCAGGGAGCAGGGACATCCCCAGCTAGAGCAGGGTGCTCAGAGCTCCATCCAACCTCCCCTGGGATGGTGCCAGGGATGGGGCAGCGACCACCTCTCTGGGCAGCCTGGGCCAGGGGCTCACCCCCCTCAACATCCAACATTTCTCCCTTCTCTCCAGTCTCAAGCTCCCTCTTGGAGCTTCAAACCATCCCCCCTTGTCCTGTCCCAACAGCCCCTGCTCCAAAGTCCCCCCCCAGCTTTCTGCCAGGCCCCTGGCAGTCCTGGCAGCCCCCAGCAGGTCTCCCCAGCTGGAGCCTTCTCCTCTGGGGCTGCCCCAGCCCAACTCTCTCCTGCTGGGCTCCCAGCAGAGGGGTTCCCCCCTCGGGGCATTGCTGGGGCTCCTCAAAACCCTATCCATGTCTCTCCTGACCATTGCTCAGAGCTCACCTCAGCTCTGAGGCCAAACATCCCTTCTGCCAGAGACTCCCCACGGGACCTGGACAGTGTTGGCAGCTCTGAGTGCAGGAAGGCCCCAGTTCAGCAGCACAGAAGTGTCACTGCCCCACAGCCCAGCAATGGTTGCTGCAACTTCCCCCCAGCTCTGCTCTGGAAGGCTTTGTGTGCACCAGCAAGGCCAAGAACTCCTGGGCTGGTTTTGCAGCTACGAGGGCCTCAGCCTTGTCACAGGGGCAAAGGAGGAAGCAGAAGTCTGGCTTGTTTTGACTTCTGGCTCAAAGGAAAGGAAACAAACAGCACCTCCTTCAGCCAGCCTGCTGTCCAGAGGGCATTGCAAAGGGCAAAAAGGGAGGAAACACCCAAAAAAAAAAACCCTACCTTGTGAAACTGAGGAAGTGAGGGACCCACCCTGGTCTGAGGCAGCGTGCAGCCAGGCAGGGGGGCGTGAGGGGCAGCTGTGGTCGGGCTGAGGGGGGCCTCAGGGCTGGGGAGCTGAGGTGAGGGCCTTACCCATGCTGAGGGACTCCTTCTGGAAGTCCTTGGTGAGGTGGGAGCGGCTGGTGATGCAGTAGACGTAGCGCTCCAGCACGTACCAGCACATCTCGTAGTAGAAGGGGTAACGGAACTTATTGGGGACCTGGAAAAGGGGGGAGGGGAAAGGGATGAGCTCTGGACACCCCCAGCACCATGCTGCAAGGAGATCCCTCCTGTTCCTGCTGCCTCGAGCCAGGCTGATCCCCCCCTCCCTGCTGAGAGACAGGCTGGCCCGTTACTGGAGCTCTGTTGTGTTGGCAGAGGGGGAAGATGCCCCTGGCCCAGCTGCCCACCCACAGGCCCTGCCTGCTGCAGCAGCCTGAGCTGCTTCAGAGGGGCCAACAGGCCACCCACCACAGCCCAGGGATGCCATGAAGCTCCTCTGGAGAAGGTGAGCACTGCAGGACCCATTTCTCCACAAGGACACCCACCCGTCAACAGCATTCTCTGCTCAGGACCTCAGGAAGCCTTTAGCTTCAGTCACAGAATCACAGGGTGGTTTGGGTGGGAAGGCACCTTCCAAGGTCATCCTGTCCAACCCCCTGCAGGGAGCAGGGACAGCCCCAGCTAGAGCAGGGTGCTCAGAGCTCCATCCAACCTCCCCGGGGATGGTGCCAGGGATGGGGCAGCGACCACCTCTCTGGGCAGCCTGGGCCAGGGGCTCACCCCCCTCAGCATCCAACATTTCTCCCTTCTCTCCAGTCTCAATCTCCCTCTTTGAGTTCCAAACCATCCCCCCTTGTCCTGTCCCAACAGCCCCTGCTCCAAAGTCCCCCCCCAGCTTTCTGACAGGCCCCTTGAAGCCCTGGCCGCCCCCAGCAGGTCTCCCCAGAGCCTTCTCTTCTCACTCATCTCTCTAAGATCAACACCAGGCAGCAACAGAAGGCAGCCAGGTAAGAGAAGAGACAACCCACTGGGTGCCCTCCCATGGCCAAGTTGCCACCTTCCTCTTCAGGTAGCCAGTGGCCTGTAACACTCACAACAAGACTTCCAAAGCCCTCAGAAGCCCGGGGTGAGGCAGGAGGAAGGCTGAGGGAGCAGAACAAGCCTCAGTGCTGCTGCCTGTCCCTCTGCCCGTGTTCCTGCCCATGTTTTGCAGGCTACGACACGCTGCTGATGGGCAGCTGGAGGAGTCTGAGCACTCTGGGACAGGGTGAGCCCCCCAAATTCCTGGCTGCCCCCTCCCCAGCAGCCCCCAGAGGTCAGGTCCTCACCCGTGTGCGGTCTTCGATGCTGTAGATCCGGAGCTGCATAGGGATGTTGAAGCTGTGTAAGAAGTTGCCTCCAAAAACCAGTGTGTCCATGGGAGTGTACACAGCATGGATCCAACCTGGGAGAGAAAGCAAGAGTTGGAGCTCTTCAGAGGTTTCTGTCATCCTGGTGGCTGTGGAATGTTGGTTTCTAATTGTGTTAGGCCTAAAAGCACCAGCGAGGAGGAACACGGTCTGCTAAAGTCTGTTCAACAATTCAAAACCCCTCAGAGTGACTCAAATTCCAGCTCAGTTATCTCCAAGCCTCAGTAATCCAGCCAAGCCCAACATTTTGGGAATTCCAGGGTGGGTTTCCTCAAGGCAAGGCCACTCAGTTCAGAAGAAGTGTCAGTTGGGAGAAGGGGACTAACATGAGTAAACTTGTGCAATCCTCAGGGCCAACCCCAACCTCCCCTGGGGCAACTTGAGGCTGTTGCCTCTTGTCCTGTCCCTTGTTCCTTGGGAGCAGAGCCCGACCCCCCCTGGCTCCAGGCTCCTGTCAGGAGCTGTGCAGAGCCAGAAGGTCTCCCCTGAGCCTCCTTTGCTCCAGGCTCAGCACCCCCAGCTCCCTCAGCTGCTCCTCCCCACACTTGGGCTCTAGACCCTTCCCCAGCAGCTCCGTTGCCCTTCTCTGCCCACGCTCCAGCCCCTCCAGCTCCTGCTGGGAGGGAGGGAGGGGCCCAAAACTGCCCCCAGGATTGGAGGTTCAGCCTCCCCAGTGCCCAGCCCAGGGGGACAATCCTGCCCTGCTCCTGCTGGCCACACCAGTGCTGACCCAAGCCAGGATGCTGGTGGCCTCCTTGGCCAGCTGGGCACACTGCTGGTGCACATTCAGTCACCTGCAAGTCCCTCCCTGTGTTCGTGCTTCCCAGCTCCCTACAGGCTGTCAGCACATTCCCACATCTGCTCCTGGTGCTGTGCTTCCCAGCACAGTCTTTTCTCATGCCCAGAGCAGCCACCTCACTCCATAAACTCCCCTTCCTTGCTTCACACTTGGAACCTGACTCTGCAGAGACTCCACAAGAGACCCAGGGAGCTGAGGAGCTGCCCTGCACAGGGCCACGACAGGCACGATTTGGGAGCTGGCAACCAAGAGGATGGAGCCACATCACACCTCCCAGCTACTCAGGAGGGAGGAGGCTGAATCCTGCTTGGTCCCATTTTCCTCGTGTCCCAGGAGTTCTGGTCTCTCACCACAAGCCTGGCAAGGGTCAGGATGTGTCTGCCCACCTGAGGGGATGACAAATGTGTAGCCCTGCTTGAGCTCGATGCGCTGGCACTCTGACACTCTGTCCCCCAGGAAGATGTCTCCCTGCTTCCCTGAGAGAAGCCAGTTTTCATAGAGCTCCAGGTTCTGGGGGGTAGGAGGGATCAGCCAGAAGATCTGGAAATGAAGATAACACAGTCAGAGTATGAGAGACAAAGTAGGTATTACAGGATCCCAGTGAGGTGGGGCTGAGGATCCTCTGGGGATCATCTCCCCCAACCCCCTGCTCCAGCAGCGCCCCCCCAGCAGGGTGCCCAGGGTCACAGCCAGGAGGGGTTGGGATCTCTCCAGAGCAGGAGACTCCCCAGCCTCTCTGGGCAGCTGCTCCAGGCTCTGCACCCTCCCACCCAAGAAGTTTCTCCTCCTGCTCAGGTGGCACCTCCTGGGTTCCAGTTGGTGCCCGTTGCCCCTGGGCCGGTGGCTGGCCACAACTGAGCAGAGTCTGGCCCCAGCCTCTTGCCCCCCGGGGGCCCTTTAGCTCTTGCTCAGCACTGCTCAGATCCCCTCTGAGGCTTCTCTTCTCCAGCTGCACAGCCCCAGGGCTCTCAGCCTGGCCTGGCATAGAGCTGCTCCAGCCCCTCAGCAGCTCCACAGCCTCCTCTGGACTCTCCCCAGTAGCTCCTGGTCTCTCTGGAACTGGGGAGCCCAGAACTGGACCCAAGACTCCCAAAGTGCCCTCACTGGGGCAGAGCAGAGGGGCAGGAGACCCTCCCTTGACCTGCTGGCCACACTCTTCCTCCTGCACCCCAGGGGACCACTGGCCTTCTTGGCCACTAGAGCCCATTGCTGGCTCACTAGCACAGAGGTAAAACACCTCCCTAGTCCTGCTGGCCACACTGTTTCTAATGCCACTAAGCTGAGCTACCACCAGATTTTGCTGCCCCAGTGTCATTAAAGAGTCTATGATGGGCAGCTGAAGGTGCCAATTGGGAGGACTGGCACCTTCCCAGACACCCCCTGGGACAGATTTCCACGCCAGGCCCCAGGACAACACCCAGCTGGGGGCTGGACGCCTGGCACAGGGAAATCCTGGCACCACTCTAACTGGAAGCCACCCCTCAAGGAGCAAACGTGGCACCTGGATGAAGTTTGTAACCCAACTCCAACTGGATGGAACCTGGGGCTCAGTTTTTGTGCCTTGGGCTGAGCTCAGCTGCAGGAAGCTACTCCAGAGAAGCAGCCCTTCTCTGACACCATTTCAGAGCCACTTCTCACCTGGTACCAACCTTCAGTTCAAAAGCTTCTGCTTTTCAAGTCTCTTGATGTTTTAAGATGACCCCCTCAACACATTTGTTGGCTCTTCAAAACCCCTGAACAGCTCAGCTTCAGGAGAAGCTCCCACTCATCTTTGATTACCTTTCCCCCACTTGCTGCTGCTCCCAGTGTGCTGTTTTCTGCCACACCAAGAGGTGAGCAGCTGAGGCAGCCAAATGATCTCTCAGAAGCCCAAGGCACTGGATGAATTGAGTTAAACTACTCTATGTCTTTTAGTCTTTTATGAGGTTGTCTCAGCATCATCTCTGCAGCACAGGTTTTCAGCCTGTGCCTGGTGCAGCTCTCGGGGCCTGAACTACTTCCAAGAACCACAGGTACAATTCACCATCTGGGACCTGTATCTTCCAAGGATCCACAAGAGAAGAGACTAAAAGCTGCCCTCCTAAAGCATCTGGAAGCTCCCCAGCAGGGCCTGTCCTCCTACCTTTCCCCCTCGGTGGATGTGGTACCACACAGAAGTGCCACCAAAGTCCACGTGGAAATCTGTGTAGCAGCCCTTGACACTCATCAGACAGTACCTGGTGGGAAACAAGGTGAGCACAAGGTGAAACTGAGCAGTGATCCACGTTTCAGAGCAGACAGAACATGGGAAGGAGCTGCCCAAAGCCAGGCCAAGGGCTCAGTGCAGAGCTGCAGGGAGGGGGTGGTTTGCAGGAGAGCTTCCACAGAGTGCAGCAAGCTCCTAGAAGCCACACAGCACTCTTTAAACAGAGGTTTCAACAACAAACTGGGGTGTCCTTAGTGTTACCCACCAAAACAAACAGGAGACAGTTCCTCCTGCTTCCCCCCCTTGGGACAAACTGCTTCTCCCTTGGGCAGTTTTCTTGCAAGAGATCTTTTGCTGCCTCCCAGCATGGGAAAAAGCTCAGGAGGTCACTTACTTCTGCACCTTTGGGTACTGCATCTCCAGGATTGCATTCGTGGACTCTGTCTGACTCTCCTTCAGGTGCCTGGGCCACATGTTGTCAACCCAGTCAATCAAATCCACCTACAGCAGAAAGGTGGGAGACAGGAGGGGAGAAGAAAGGGGCACAGTAAGACCCTTCTGCACAGCACTGGAGTCCTGGTCTTCTACTCAGGGGCTGGGGGGGAACTGCTGGACATGAAACCCACGCTGGGCAGCATCTCCTCGGGTGGGATGCAGCTCCCTAAGCCCTAGGACAGCCCCAGCAGGCAGAGATGTCCAGGCTCCCTCTACAGTTGAACGTGAGAAGTGATTGGCCCCACAGAGCTGCCCCTTCCTCTCCACCGACTGCAGAGTGAGCTCAGCATCTCCATCACCACCCACTTCACTGAGGACAGCTGGTTTTCCACCTGCCCTGCCTCCAGCACACCTCCAGCCCTGGCCTCTGCCCTCAGAGATGTCCAGATCTTGCCTCAGAACCCTGCTCTGCCATGCTGCACAACCCCCTGGGGTCCCAGCTGCACACAGGGTTCATGTCCCACCAGCATCACCCTTCCCAACCACCAAGGAAACCACAAAGCCCCACCAGCATCCAGGCTTTGGCTGCTCACCCAGAACCCCAGGGGCACCACTGAGCTCTGCTGCCTGATCTGGGCCCTGCTGGAGCTGCAGCTCTCTTTGGCCACGATGGGGCTGCTGCAGGGTGCAGGAGAGGGCTCTGCACCGAGCACCAGAGCAGCACAGTGTGCAGCACAGGCCCAGGGTGGGAGGGGAGCCCAGGTCTTGGCAGGCAGTGGAATCAAGAACTGGGAGAAGCAGGGACATCCCCAGCTAGAGCAGGGTGCTCAGAGCTCCATCCAACCTCCCCTGGGATGGTGCCAGGGATGGGGCAGCGACCACCTCTCTGGGCAGCCTGGGCCAGGGGCTCACCCCCCTCAGCATCCAACATTTCTCCCTTCTCTCCAGTCTCAAGCTCCCTCTTTTAGTTCCAAACCATCTCCCCTTGTCCTGTCCCAACAGGCCCTGCTCAAAAGCATGTCCCCAGGAGCAGTTTACTTCACTCTAATTACCCCTTGGCCAATCAGTTCCACTTCTCTAATTGCTGCTGGGTGGTGAACGTGCCCAGCTCTCTGGAGGAGGACACACCAGGGACTTGACCATGGCCACCAGGGCTGAGGGCAGCCCCAGCCTGATGCTGAGACCAGCTCCAGCAGACAAGGCCTGAGTCAAACCCCAGATCAGCTCCAGCAGTGACACCCCTGCTGAGCCCACGTGTGTCACCAGCAGCTCCTCTCCTCCCCCTCTCAAGTCCTGGGCTGCACCCTGCCCGTGGAGAAGCCCCAGGGGAAGGACACTCCAGCAGAGGGAAGAGCCACGCTCACCGTGGCGGGTCTCTGCACCAGGTTCTCCAGCTTGGTGTGGCTGAACTCCAGGCTGATGACGTTGTACAGCTTCTCCCTCTCAGCCTCTGGGGTTTCATAGTAACGTGCCCACTGTGCCATGGACATTTCAATGTCCCTCTGAGTGTTCACATCCATCACATCCACCATCCGTCGGCTCCCTGCCGGGACAGAGACGTCACTGCAACCCTCCCTGAGCCCAACAGACCACCCAGAAGAGCAGAGAACCCTCCCCAAAAGAGCCCACCCCCACAAGTGGGACAGCTTGGTCCCTCCCATAACTCCATCTTCCTCCATGTGGGTAACTTCTGGAAACAGAACTTGCTTCAGGGCAAACTAGACTCGAGCAGGTTGTGATCCACCAGCTAAGGACCAGCTTCAACCACTCTGAGGGAGGCAGAAAATCAGCTCTGTAGCTTTGGTAAACCCAAGGACCCCCCCAATGTTGGTCCATGCCCCCCCCAGTGCAGGCCAGAGCCCCTGGTCCCCGACACTCACCGACACACAGCCGCACATCGTTCACGCTGAAGTCGGGGTCTGGCATCCTGCAGGACAAACACCTGGCTCAAAACTCCACCTGCAGCTCCTGCTTGCAGCCCCTTCCCCACCTGTCAGCCCAGTGTTGGCACCCTGAGGATATCTCCGTGCCTCTTCCTGCCCCTTGGGCACGGTGAGGACCGTGCAGTGAGAGCTCTGCGAGCCCAGAGATTTCTTCTGGCTTGGGGAGAGGATTTGGGAAGGGGATGGACCATCTCTGGAGCATGAGCTGTCGTGCAGCAGCTTCTGGCAAGCTAAGAGTGAGCAGGACTCAGGCTCAGCAGTCCCAGCTCTCGTTTTGAAGGCTGCCTGTAAGAGTTATCCCAGTAGAAGGGCACAGCCAGACCAGTCCAGGCAGCCTATTTCACTGACACAGCACAGCTCCTCTAGCTGTGTGTACTGGTGTGCTGCTCTGGATAAACACTGCTGGCACAGCCAGGCAGCTGCTCAGGCAGCTCTTGACCCAGAGAAAGAACCAAAAGCTCAGGAGAAATCCAGTTTCACCCAGGCTGTAACCCCCAGGATCACATCTCTGCCCTCCCAAGGCAGGCAGTGGTTAAAACTGAGCCTGGCACAAGTTCCTCTCTTGCTCACCCCAGTATGGGACACCCCAGACTGGGCAAGATGCTGCCTGTCACTCACAGCCAGCTGACTGTAAGTCGACTGACTCACTGCAGCAGGAGACAGGCAGCAGTTGAGGAGTAACCACCGTGTGTAGATCAGGTTGGAATCCTGGAAAAAGCCCAAAATACTACGAGTTGCTCCACTCTCTGGCACTAGATGCCCGTGTTACCAGGAAAGGAACCCAGCCAGATGTTGCATCAGAGCAGCAGTGGGACTTCCCAGACGTTTGGCTGAGTTGGGATCACCTACAGCCAGTTCAGTCCTGTCACTTTATGCCCAGGCAGACTGGTTAGAATGGGGTAGGGGAGGTGGAGGAGACAACTCTCTGCTCATTGCACATGGAGAACAGAGTGGACATGGGCTCAGCAGCTTGGCACAGCACTGCTCCAGCTTCTGGGAGTGGATCCCACAAAGAAAGAAGAAAGAAATCAGGTCAGAGTCACCCACCTCTCTTTAACATAACACTTACTTTATCCCCAGGCCATCAGAGCTCCTGAAGATGAGAGGGTCTCTCAGGCCACCTCGCTGGATGTATTCCACTGTGAAGTCTGGTGTGGGGAGAGAAGAAGAGGGAAGGTGTTAGAAGCAGCTCCTTCAGAGGACTACAGGCAAACTGAGGTCAGAAAGGAGGTCCCTGGAGACCTCTAGTCCAACCCTACTCCCAAATTGGGTTGTTCAGGGCCCTGTGCAGCTGAGACAGAACTTCCTCCTGCTCAAAAAGAAAGCCCCTTTCCTCACTATTTCCTCAGAGACCCTGGGACTCCTCTGGGGCAGTTCTGTGAGCAGCATGGTGTGTGCTGCTGACAGGCCTCAGACAGGCCTCCCAGGGAAGTTTGCTCCAAGAGGCTGCCCCAGAGAGGGGAACAGCATGGGTTTTGGTCCTCCCTTCCTCAAGAAGCTCACAGCCAAGAGACACCTTGGAGAAATGCTTCCCCCCCCTCCCATGGTAAGTCCTCAGGAGGCTCCCAGAGGCTGTGTGATGAAAAGACAACCCACTGAGCTGCAAGCATGGTGAAAGAAAGGGGAGAGATCCCACATGGTCTTTAAATTAAGCACCTAGTAGACACGTGGCTGCAATTACAGGTGCTGACCCAGGCAAAGCCTCTTGCTCCTGGCTGCCACGTGTCCCAGCAAGCCTGCAGTGCTGCAGACCAGCTCCTGGCTCCCCAGGGGGAGCAGCTTCACATCAGTTCCCACCCACCCCCCTGTCGCCAGCTCCCCTGGCCCAAGGGGTTAGAAGGTTTGAGCCAATCCTACAACAATATACCTCAGGTTGCCTTCAACCTGACAGGAGGCTGCAGACAGGTGGGGGTCAGACTCTTCTCCCAAGGAACAGGACAAGAGGCAACAGCCTCAGGTTGCTCCAGGGGAGGGTTCAGTTGCCCCTGAGGAACCATGTCTTGCCCTGGAGGGTTGTCCAGGGCTGTGCCAGGCTGCCCAGGGCAGTGGTGGAGTCCCCACCCCTGGAGGGGTTTCCAAGCCGTGGAGATGTGGGGTGAGGGACACGGGGCAGTGGGGACCTGGCAGGGCTGGGGGTACAGTTGGACCTGATGAGCTTAAAGGTCTCTTCCAACCCAAGGATTCTGTGAACTGGTTTCATTAACACCACAATGGCCTTGTAACCACCCTTGAGGCTGGCAGCCAGGGAGGCTTTGGGTGCAGTCAGAGGCACAAGAGCACATCCCAGTGTGCTGATCCCTGTCAGCTTTCTAAGAAGGGCTTGGGGAAGGTCATGTCACACCCCCTGCCCCACTGGAGAAGCAGCCAAGCACAGCAGCTCCCTGCTTACTGACAGCAGGCCCCAGACAAACCTTTGCCTTCCATGAAGACCACGAAGGTGGAGTTAAACTTGTTGGTGGACAGCTTTTCCTCCAGGTCAAACGTCCTCTTGCCTTCGATTTCATCGTCGGAGATGCCGTCGTCCTCGTAACGCCGCCGCATCGTGCCACGCTGAGGAGAGAGCACAGCAGCAACTCAGAGCTGGGGGGCAGCAGGAGCCACCACCTTCCTTCCCAGAGCCTCATCTCAACCCAGCAGGGCTCCTCCAGGGCCTGGGTGAACCCTGGGAAGCCCAAAGCTTCTCCCCCCAGAGGGAAGAGGCTCTATTCCCGAGGTGCGTCGTCCGCTGGGTCTCCTGCTCAAAAAGCACTGTTGGTTTTCAAGAGAGAGGTGCTAGAGAAGATCAATTTTGGCAACGTCTGTCCTGGATCCAAACCACGCCACTGAAACAGCCGACTTGCTCCTCCTACAACCACCAGCTTTGTGCTGTATGGGAGACAGATTATTCACTCCTAACGAGGCTGTCGCAGAAAGAGAGGAGGAGAGAGAGCTCAAACTGGGGCAAAGGGAAAAAAAAAACCACAGAATCCACTTCCCATTTTTATAGGTGCAGCTGTATTTTGCCATGCTGGAGGTAGAGGCACTTGAGAATTTAAAGCTCTGCCAGAATTCCAGGTGATAAAGGAAGAGAGGGGTTTGTGCTGAAGGCAATTCTCAAGTTTTCACACACAAAAGTTGATTTATCCCCTTGTTTGTGTGTCAGGCAGTAGCAGGGGGAAGAAGTTCTTCTCTTAGAGGGTCTCCTATGTACATCTGTAGTGGGATTCCTGACAGACATCCCCTCCTAGCACTGCTGGATCTGGAAGGAATTAGTGTCCCCAGCTGTTATCCACCCCTGCTCCAGCAGAGCTGCCCGTGGGAATGCTCCCGAAATCCCTGCAGATAACTTCAACCTGGTCTGAATTAGCCAAGCTGACTTCCCCCAATTAGGGATGCTCCCCTCATAAACCATCCACACCCATTGCTGTGCCAGCAGACAGCCAGGGACAGGATGGGGCAGGGGGTGACAGTTGCCTGCAGCACTGGCAGTGGGTCACATCCCAGCAACACCACCAGTCCCAGCCACGGAGCAGGACAGAGCCCAGCACCCACTCAGACCTCAGAATCACAGACTGGTTTGGGGGGGAAGGGACCTTCCAAGGTCACCTTGTCCAACCCCCCTGCAGGGAGCAGGGACATCCCCAGCTAGAGCAGGGTGCTCAGAGCTCCATCCAACCTCCCCTGGGATGGTGCCAGGGATGGGGCAGCGACCACCTCTCTGGGCAGCCTGGGCCAGGGGCTCACCCCCCTCAGCATCCAACATTTCTCCCTTCTCTCCAGTCTCAAGCTCCCTCTTGGAGCTTCAAACCATCCCCCCTTGTCCTGTCCCAACAGCCCCTGCTCCAAAGTCCCCCCCCAGCTTTCTGATGGCCCCTGGAACTCCTGAAAGACCCCCAGCAGGTCTCCCCAGCTGGAGCCTTCTCCTCTCAGCTGCCCCAGCCCAACTCTCTCCTGCTGGGCTCCCAGCAGAGGGGTTCCCCCCTCAGGGCATTGCTGGGGCTCCTCTGGCCCCCCTCCAGCAGGTCCCTTGCTCTGCTGAGGACTCCAGAAAGCTGCACAACCAGCTCCTATGTCCCAGCACAACCACCTCCTGTGTGTCTCAGCTCCTGTTAACCCCCAGGAGACCCTGCTGAGCTCCCCTGGGCAGCACAGCACCCCCAAACCACAGCCAGGCACCCACCTCTGGGTGCCAGGAGAGCACCCACCCTTCTCCCCATCACCAGTCACAGCCCAGCTCAGCACTTGCCTGCCAGGCAGGGTGCAAACACAGGGGCTTTCCTGGCCAAAATCCAACAGAGGAAACAGGCCCAGGGGATGCAGCTCCACATCCACCCCCAGACCTTGCTGGAGGCAAGGTGGGGAAGCCCCAAAAGCCCCATTTACTGGACAACCACAATTCCCACCCCAGAACCACCTCAAACCACCTCTTCCTTGTCTGGAAGGCAGAGGTGATATGGGCAAAGAGGCCTTGGAAAGAGGAGTTGTAGCTTCCCCTTTCTACTTCTACCCTTCCAGAGAGAAGCAGAGCTCATGGTGCTTCCTCCTGCCTGGGTGGACCCCGAGCTGTGCAAGCCCTGTCTGGCTGACATGGTCTGAATTTTGACCCCTTCCCTTGGGCCAGACTCCCCAAACCTGCCAACGAACAGGGGACAAGCAGCTTCTTACCTTTGCTGGGTGTAAATTGTGAGATGGAGACTGCCTGGCACGCTCAAGGCTGGCAGGAAGAGTCCACATCCAAACTAGTCTCCTAATACCTTAAATTTGGCTCCCAGGCTGGAATTAGAAATGATATTTCAGGGCTTCTAGATAGCAGCCTTCTAGTGCAGGACCAGGGGATCCTTCCAGCTCTTTGCCACAGCCACGAGGCAAACAGAAAAGCAGCAGCTACCCCACAAAGGCCCCAACCCCAGGAACACCTTAACTGGGAACCCCCTCACGTGGGGGAAGCAGGGATGGAGAGCATGGAAGGAAGGGGATCGACTCCTCCAGCCAAGCAAACTCCCAGCTCTGCTTTGCTGCAGGCAGGGAAGAGTCTGGCCTCCTAATTTGCTCAGTCTGGAGGAGAATAGGATCCCAGTCGTGGCTGAGGACCCAAAAGTGCTGCCACAATTATTGGCTCCCAGCAGTTATACAACATCTCCAGCGTGCTCCATCTCATTGTTGTCTTGGGAGGGTGGGGAAGAAAAAAAAATCCAGCATTTCAGCCTGTGCAGGGCAGGCAGGAGGAAGGAAAGGCCACGGGGAGAGATGTGGCCAGAGCCCAAGCCTGGGGCTTGTGCAGGGAGCCTCCGAGCCCCCTTTCTGCTCTGCTGAGCTTTGGTCCTCACCAGGGAACTGCCAGCTGGATAAAGAACTGACCACCAGCACTCACTTCTTCTCTGGGAACTCTGGACTGTGCTGCAGCTGGGGAGGCACAGCCTGGACCAGGAGATTCCCCCAAACCTGCCATCCCTGTGAAGGTCCCAGGTGGAGCTCAGCCCCAGCCAGGCCAGGGAGCAGAGTCAGGCCCATCACACAGAGATCTGTTGCAGCATTCAGCAGCAATACTCAAATATTGTTTGGGTTTTTTTTTTTCCAGCTCTGTGATCTGTGGGCAGGATTCAGAAATTTCTCATCCCCATGAGAACTTTACTGAGGACAAGCAGCCCAAAAAACTTTCTCCCTGTGGCAGGCAGGGTCAAGGTAGAGGTTGTTTCTTCATCCTCCACCAGTGCTGGCTGGCAATTTTCATCTAAGGTTCATCCATTTCTTCCTGGCCCTCTGGGGTACCACCCACTTACTGCAGGAAAGAGGAATATGGATCCTCCAGACAGCTCCAGTGTCATCCCTTCTGCTCAGATCCTTTCACCCACATCCTCCTCCTCCTCCTCCCAGGGGTGATGGGGCAGGGCCTGGTGCTCCTCTCCATGGTGCTCCTCTCCAAAACTCTTCCCTGGACACCTCTCTGCAGCAGCAAGCACTGCCTGGAAGGAGCACAGCTACCCCTAAAGGCAAAGGAGCTGACAGCTGGCTGAAGGGAACAAGACAACTCTCCTGTGGGGGTTTTTTTTTGGAGTGAAGAACGAGTACAGGGTCACATCTGAAGAAAGCACAAGCTGTCCTTTGGCTGGAAGGGCCTCACATATTTACACAGGGAAACCAACAACCACCACAGTGTTTTAGTCACTTCCTGGCCTGTCTGCTGCCATCCCACCCCTGATCTCCCATCACCTCCATCTCCCAGGCCTCAGGAAGCCTCCTCCTGCTGTGCCATGGGCCTGTCCACCTCAGGAGACCACAGCACAGCTTGCTTCTCCTCTGCCTCCTCTCTGCTGTCCTGCCAGAGCAGCTTCTTCAGCCCTTTGCACGTTTGCTTGGCTGAAATGCATCTAAACTGGTGACAAACCAACAAGCTCAACTCTCCTCAGCTTATAAATTGAACTTTTGGCATATTTTTACAGCAAACAACTATGGCTTTCATCCAGGTAAGTCCAGACCTTCAACATTCAAACACCCATCAGCCAGTTTTAACCCACAGCATCTCCCTGTTGCCAACAGAGGTGTCCAAAATTCCACCCCCAAGACACCACACTGAGCTCCACCAGGAATTCACAGCCACTCCCCAAAATTGCTCTTGAGATCCTTTATTTGCATAGGTTAGGGCCTGACCTGCTGGGAAGCAGCTCCACAG